CACAATCGACCCCTGGTCAACTTCACACACAGATACAACATTTAGGCCATGCCTTCTCTTTCTTGCTGTTCTTGGGTATCATGTTATTACAAATATCACAAGGTAAAACATTCCTACTTTTACACTCAACACTTTCAGTTTCTTTAAAACATCCAGTCTCTCTAAAACATCAAAACTCTCGCTAAAATACCCCAAATCTCTCTGAAATATCCAGAGTCTCTCTAAATATCCCAAATCTTTGTAAAATCCCCAAGTCTCTTAACTGTAAGCTCCTGCAAAACTAAAATAAGTTCAATACTTCTTATTATAAGAGGCAAGACTCAGGCAGAGTTTCAATTGGTCAGAGAAAACCAAGGTCCAACTGTGCACAGCTCAATGCCAGACATTTGGCGCTCATGGTCTTGGACTTGGCAGTGGCACTTCTCCAGCTCTGCCATCTACAGCACACACAACTTATCTCACAGACTCAGGCTGGCACCACTGCACAGCTGCTGCTATCCTTGGTGGCCATCCCATCATCGTATTGGCATCTCCAAAACGCTGAGTTGTCCTGATGCAAGTGAGCTGCCCCATCACCAATCACCTCTCCTGGGCTCTCTTGGGGGACTCTGATCCTGCCACATGGTGCCAAGTCACAACTTTTCTTCATGACCCCCCTTCTACTAAGGCTGCACCTTCACCCATGGCTCTCCTGGCCTTTCTTCAGGGACTCCAGCTCTGCCACACAGCATCAAGCCTCAACTTCTTTCAATGAGCCCTCAAAACCTTCAAAGGCCCTCAAAACCAGTACCACCTGGGTAACTCTTATACCTTACTAAAGTTGGCTTTCAGCAACTTTAGTAAGTCTCTGTGTGCTGACCCCGAGGAAATACTCACAGAAGATTTCATCTTCCAGCTGCTGCTGTCTGTCTGTCTCCTGGGTTTTTGAGACAGGGTTCCTTTGCTTAGCCTTGGCTGTCCTGGTACTTGCTCTGTAGAGATCCTCCAGTCTCTGCCTCCCAAGTGCTGGGATTAAAGGTGTGTGCCACTACACCTGGCTTGTTGGGCTCTTTTTAGTGACCACGAATTTCTCAGCTCCTGCTAACCAGCATTGATTGTCCCAGCAAAGCAAACGTTTTGCTTTAGTAGCTCTTCATTCAAAATAACATAAATGGCTTTGATAGAGTCCTTAAGGGACTTTAAAATTTCCCTCTGGAATTTCACAAGCTAGCCCTCCATCATCTGCATCGATCTCAACATTATTTTCCAAACTCCTACAGAACAGCCCAGGGAGCTCTGAGCACTCAACAGCTTTTCTGAAGTTCCAATGGTACCACAATCCTTCCCAAAACACATGGCCAGGTCTGTCACAGCAATAATAATTTCTGGCTTAGGATTTCTATTGCTGTGCTAAAACACCACGACCAAAAGCAGCTTGGGGAGGAAAGAGTTCATTTCATGTTACACTTCTGCATTACAGTCAACCAGCCAAAGAAGTTAGGGCAAGAATTGTAGGCAGGAGCCTGGAGGCAGGAACTGATGCAGAGACCGTGAAGGAGTGCTGCTGACTAGCTTGCTCCTCATGGTTTGCTCATCCTACCTTCTTATGTACCCCAGGACCACCTACTCAGGGGCAGCCCCACCCACAATCTCACATCAATCAAGAAAATGCCTGACAGCTTGCCTACAGGCCAATCATATTCTTATTAAGATCCCCCTTTCCCAGATGAGCCTACTTGTGTCAAGTTGACAGAAAGTCCATCAGCACATGCACATACACTGTCCAGCACTAGGACAGACATAGCCAGTAGAGATGAAGCTTCTAGATCAGGACCAGCTCGATACCTCCATGCCCTATGACTCAAATATGCGATATCTTCGGCAATGGGTCTTACCATCAAGTTCTAGGAGGTAACCAAGAGCACCAGCAATTGCCTTTAATGACACTAAAATCCTCTTTTTAAAAAAGTCATTGGAGGGCTGGAGAGATGACTCAGAGGTTAAGAGCACTGACTGATCTTCCAGAGGTCCTGAGTTCAATTCCCAGCACCCACATGGTGGCTCACAACCATCTGTAATGAGATCTGGCGCCCTCTTCTATATACATAATAAATAAATAAATCTTTTAAAAAAAGTCATTGGAAACCTATGACTTCTACTGTAGAAGCTTCCATAGACAGACAGGCAGACAGACAGATTTAAAATGAAGTCACTGTCTAACAAGACGGCAATGCCTTTACTAGGTACCACAAGCTAACAAATAAAGAGCCCAGTGCCAGGAGTGGGTTACATCTTTGGGATTGTTGACCACAGACGCCCCACAGATCTCCAAACAGTGCAGGCTATTATTGATCTTGGATTTCTGCCAGCTAAATCCATAGGAAAAACAAAATTATTTGTCTTATAAAGTTAGCCTGCCCCAGGAGTTTTAACAAAAACAAACAATAGCAGGCCAAAAACTCCTCTCAACAGGTCTGTCTCTACCACTCCTAGGTCTCCCATCAGCACCAGGACTGGAGTCCCCTGCCACCACACCCAGTCAAAGTAAACCTGAAGTCCTTGGGTGGTCCACAGGTCCCAACTGAAGCAGCCCCTTCCTCCCCCACCTCTATGACAGCTTCCTGCATGTCTTCCCAGTTCTTGGTCCACTACGGGCCACAAGCGCCTCCTTGCTGTTCTGGAAGCCAAGTTGCCGCGTTCCTGAGTTGTTCAGGATTTCCCCTCACCTCTCTTAGTATCCTCAGGAAGACTGACCTTGATGTAATAGGGGGAAATGTGTCCCCTCCAAGAGTGAGGTGTTCAAGTCTGGACCCACCTCACCAGTGCTTGAGAATGAGACTGTGCTTGGAAATAAAGTTTAAAGAGGTGATTAAGCTCAGCTAGGTCACAGGTCAACAAGTGGCCCCAGAAGAACGTGAGGGTGACAGAACCGAGAACAATGTCTACACTCGTGGAAGGGAGGCCTTAGGAGAAAGCAGGCCTGCTGCCATCTTGGCCTCGGTCTTACGGCTTCTATTGTTGCAACCAAACACCATAAGCATAAGGCAAGCTGGGGAGGAAAGGGTTTATCTGGCTTACCCTTCCACAGCGAAGTTCATCATTGAAGGAAGTCAGGACAGGGCAGGAACCTGGGGGCAGGAGCTGATGCAGAGGCCATGAAGGGGAGCTGCTTACTGGCTTCCTCTCCATAGCTTGTTCAGCCTGCTTTCTTACAGAACCCAGGACCACCAGCCCAGGGATGGCACCACCCACAATGGGCTGGGCCCTACCCCATTGATCACTAGTTAAGAAAATGCCTGACAGACTTGCCTATGACCTGATCTTATGGAGGCATTTTCTTTTTTTTTTTTTTTTTTTTTTTTTTTCATTTCTTTTTTTTTTTTTTTATTAATTTATTTTGCAATACAATTCAGTTCTACATATCAGCCACGGATTCCCTTGTTCTCCCCCCCTCCCGTCCCCCTCACCTTCCCCTCAACACCCCCCCCCCCATTCCCATCTCCTCCAGGGCAAAGCCTTCCCCACAGACTGAGGTCAACCTGGTAGACTCAGTCCAGGTAGGTCTAGTCCCCTCCTCCCAGGCCGAGCCAAACAATCCTGCATAGGCCCCAGGTTTCAAACAGCCAACTCATGCAATGAGCACAAGATCTGGTCCCACTGGGAGGCATTTTCTTAACTGAAGCTCCCTCCTCTCAGATGACTTTAGCTTGTGTCAAGTTGACATAACACTAGTCAGCACAACCCCTGACTTCTAGCCTCCAGAATTGCAGGGAGACACGATTCTGTCATGTAAGCCACCCAAACAGTACTTTGCTGTGACATTGTCCTCACAGACCTGTACACATGATCACACTCTGTTCTGCACCTTGCCCTTCCCTCTGACCTCTGACCTCTGGGCCTGCCTCTGCCTTTGCCCCTCACATTATTCATCACCTCCAGCACACTTCCTTGCTGAGGTAGGTGTTTATTGCTTGCAGTTTGGGTCCCCCAAACACACACATCACATGAGCTTTGTAAGGGGCTGGATTTTTTAAAAAAAGATTTATTTACTTTTATTTTACGTATATGAGCATTTGCCTGCACATACTCATGTGTACCTTCTGAGTACCTGCGACTCCCTGGAATTGGAGTTACAGACTGTTAATCGTCACCATGGGAGGGCTGAGAACTGAACCCAGAAATTCTGCAAGTGCCTCTTAATGGCTGAACCATATCTCCAGCACGTTTCCCAGCCCCCCTCTTTTTTCTTTGACTCAGCATTCCAAGCATCCCCAGAAGTATGTGACAGGTAGCCGGTGCTCAGTAACTACCCACTGGTGGGTGGATGTTAAGACTCTGGTGCTTATACCCCTATCACTAGGCACCTATCTTCAGAGAGGCAGTGAATGATAGGGAAGCCATGATTTCACGGAGCTGGCTGCAGGTGTAATATCATAAACGAAGGAGGAAGACTGTTTCTGAAGTAGTTTTCTGTCTTACCATCTGTCCCCATTGTCCACACATCTGTTAGTAAGTGGCAGCCCTTGCCCATTAAGACTGAAAATCAGAGAATGCACCTGGATTTTCCCCTCCCCTGAACAAAGCCCACACATCCTTTCTCAGTGTCCTTGACACAACGCCTACACACACAGCTCCACATACAGCCTACACATACAGATGTTCAGCCCCTTCATACAGTTCCCATATACAGCGCTCTCTCTCCCTCCCCCTTCTGTACACACACACACACACACACACACACACACACACACACACACACACACACGTGGGCTAACATTTTTCAGCTCACTTTTATTATGCACCCCTGTCGGTCTCTCTTACTTGAGATATGGAAACAGGGGATCTGACATCGTGGTGGGCACCGACCCCAAGCTCCAAACTTATTTGTCTCTTTTTGTTGCTGCTCTGGCTTTCTGCACTGTGCACCCCCGGCCAACTGGGGTGGGGGTGTCACGGGCTGGTTTCACCTGGGGTATCTGCCTCCCACTAGGCCGGGAGCCAACATCCGACGGCCCTCTCACCTTGACCGAGACCCCTTTCCAGCTGCAGAAGGCATCGTAGGCGGCGCGCACGGCGGCGCGGGCCTCGGGCACCCCGCAGTCGGCCACGGTGCCCAGCGTGGCGCCGCTGGCCGGGTCCTGCACGGGGAAGGTGGCGGGGGCCGGGAGCCAGCGGCCTCCCACGAAGCTGTCCCCCGCGGAGTAGGTCGGCGGGGAGGCCAGCGGGGCCGCGGGCGTAGCTGCGACACTGGGCTCCTGCGGACGCCGGGCGGAGGCAGCGGCCGGGAGGCGGCAGCGCCCGGCGCGCGGCCCAGAAACTCCGCAGCAGAAAGCAGGTCGCCATGGCCCCGCAGTGGCGGCGACAGAGGCAAGGGACAGGCAAGCGGGCTCGCAGGAGCTCAGGGGTCGCGGGGAAGCGGGAGCGCGGCGGCGGGGACGCGCAGGGCGGCGGGGACGGCGGCGGGGACGGCGGCGGGGGATGGCGGGGACGCCGAGAGCGCCCCCTCTCTGTGCTGCTGGAGCTGCATGGTCCTGAACCGGCCTGTGCTCCCCGGGGCGCCCTTCCCCAGGGCCTGCGAAGCGGAAAGACTCCTAATAAGATGAACTTGCACACATAAGTCACCTTTCCCGCTGTCGGGCGCTCACCTGCCATTTCTAAGGCCTTCATTGTGACAGGAGAACCTTCTTTTCCCCCGTTCCCCAGCCCTAGCAATCTGCTCTCGGGGTAGAGATGGCACCAAGGCTAAAATCGAGGTTCCACACGCTGCAGCTCCTGAACACTGGGATTGAGAACCATTGTTTAATGAGGGGCGAAGTGCAATTCAGCAGTCTGCCCCTTGAATGCTTTTCTTCATCTCCGGTTCATGAATTTGGAGTAGAGCGCTCCTGAGCACTTGGGATTCGGGGCAACCATTTAACCAGTGTCGAAGTGAGGCTCAGGGATTCCTCTTGATGCTTTTCTGCATATTTCCTCTGTTGGGCCTTTGCAAGTAGATTGGGATGCTGTATGTCCTATCTGCTGTAGGCCAAGCAACTAGAAAGGCTGAAGTCGGGCCAGTTAGTAACTGGAAGCAACCAAGGCCCACACCTTTAATCCCAGCATTTTGGGAGGCAGAGGTAGGAGCTGCTCTGTGAGTTCAAGGTCAACCAGGGCTACTTAGTGAGACCCTGTTTAAAAAAATGTCAACAAGAGTGTGAGGATTGAACATAGCGCAGTCACCTTAAACAGCATCTTCATCCTCCTGTTACAGCAAGGAACCCCAAGTTAATTTGGATAAAAGAAATAGCAGGTCTGTGCTCAGAATTTGTGGGGTCAAATGCAACTCAACATTGTGCATTTTTTTAAAGATTTATTTACTTATTTATTCATTCATTTATATGGGTACTTTGTCAGCATATACATCTGCACACCAGAAGAGGGCATCAGGCAGTTGTGAGTTGCCATGTGGGTGCTGGGAATTGAACTCAGGACCTTTGGAACAGCAGAGAGTGCTTGTAACCACTGAGCCACCTCGCCAGCTCCCTTGTGCATTATTTTAAGATCCCAAGATTAAATATTTTCTCATGCTCAATTACTATAAATTGTGTGAGAATGTCTTGCTGGCCTTTCTAGAGCATATAGGTTCTTCATTTTAAAAAGATAATAATAATAATAATAATAATAATAATAATAAATAATTATTGAGGAAACATGTTACTGTGTACCCTAGTAGAAGGAAGACCTACATCTCACAGCCTTCCTTCCTAGAGTTCTGGATTTACAGGCAAGTGCTACATGCCCCAGTTAGGATACTGTATTTGCAAAATGCCTAGGATGTCCTTTTAACTGTTGACTTTGTCTTCTGCTGAGTCAGAGCCTCCCAGCCTTGTGCCACTCACATCTGGCAGAAGATCTAACAGCAGCATTTAATGCAGGTGGGTGTAGACATGTATGTGCCTGTGTTCGTTTGTTTACTATTTTGTCCTGTATTTTATTGAGGGAAGTCCGGGTCAAGGTAAGCAGGGCCTCGGGTGCTATCAAAAGCGGTTTGGCCTGGATGCCTGCTGCCTGCAGGGGGAGCTCTGCTGACAGCCCATTCTACCTTCTCTGGGCATTCCTTCATTCCTTCAGAGCAGGTCTTAACCACTGTAGGTCACACACTTGAAATCAGCTGTGTATCTCAGGTTCCAGTCCTGAATTATTTGCTCCAGTGTAGGATTTATTCTCTCTCTCCCTCTTTCCCTCTCTTCCTCTCCCTCTCTCCCTCCCTCTCCCTTCCTCTCTCTCTCCCTCCCTCCCTCTCCCTCCCTCCCACTCTCTCTCTCTTTTCCTCCTTCTCCCTCTCTCCCTCCCTCTTCCTTTCCTCTCTCCCCCACTCACCCTCTCTCTCTAACTTCAAACAAACAAACAAACCAGAAATAAAAACCAGGATTTCATTCTGTAACCAAAGCTGACCTCAAAGGCACTATATAGCACAGGCTGGCCTTGAACTCAGGAAATCCACTTCGCCAGTCTCCCGAGTGCTGGGGTTCTAGGCCTGTGTCACCACCCTGGCTTGAGAAGCTGTTTGAAATTCTTCCTGTCCCCCTTCTCGACTGACTTGCCTCCCTAGGATCTTATCACTCTCAGTGTTTATTTCTTTTAAAGTGAGAAGGGAAAAGAAACCCCGATTTGGGTATAATCCTGCTATATTATCTTCACACCAACGCAGTAGTCAAATCATCATGTATTTACTTGTTTGCTGAAGGAGGGAGCTCACCAAGGCAACAGTCCCTGTAGTCTGAGAAGTGGCACTCCCCGTTTCCCATACTGTTTTGTGCCCTCCAGAGAGCCCCCCCTCCCGTTTGGAGTGGGAACAATCCTCTCCAGCCTCCTAGCTTACTTCTCTGGCGGCTCCTAGATCTTGGATAGGTATGCTCACTAGGACCCTTGGGAGAAATGCACTGGGAGTGGGGGTGTGGGGGTGGAGGGGTGGAGGAGTGGGGGTGGGAGAGTGGGGGTGGGGTGGGGGTGGGAGAGTGGGGGTAGGAGTGGGTAGGCGGGGTTTTCCCTTTTCTCCTTATGTTCTTGGGCACTATTAATTTCCAGTTCCTGGCTTTTAAAATTTATTTATTTGTGTGGAGGAAGGGGAGGGTTGCCAGAATTGGGGAGAACCTTCTCCTACCATGTGGGTCCCAGGGATTGGACTGGGCAGCAAGCACCTTTACCTGCTGAGCTAGCTCTAAGGCTCTCTAAGTTCCTGGCTTTGTCCACCCTCTGCCCCAGCTGCTGTCATGGTCCTGTAGTGGCAGTGGCATATGTCCTGGAGAAATGAGCTGCTGTAGTCTGGACACTAAAAGTATATCTAAAGCGGGGCCTGGTGGCTCATGCCAGCGTGGGGAGGTAGAGGCAAAGAGCTTGAGAACTCAAGGTAGGGGCTGGGAAGATGGCCTAGTGGGTAAACATGCTTGCCTCACAAGCTTAATGCCCAAGTTCAATCTCCAGAACCGAAAAAGGGGGGTGCAGTAGCACATGTCTGCCGATTCCACCGCTCTAACAGCAAGATGGGAGGTGAAGGCAGGTAAGCCAACTGGAAGCACCAGTTAGCTTGGAATAGAGAAGCAGACCCTGCCTCGAGAGGAACCCTGCCTCAACAAAGTGTGCGTGTGTGTGTGTGTGTGTGTGTGTGTGTGTGTGTGTGTGTGTGTATGTGTATATGTGTGTCCTAAAACTTGTCGTCTGACCTCCACAGGTACTCCTGCATTCAAACTCACAGATAAATACACACACACACACACACACACACACACACACACACACACATTAAAAAAAAGAAATCAAGGCATAACTCAGCTACATAGGGAGTTTGAGAACAGCCTAAGGTCATGTGTGCCTTATAAAAAATATTGCACCTCATTTATCTGCACGTGAAGACCCGCTTTCATTTCACAGCCTTCAACCCATTTTGCTCTATATCCACATTTAAATTTTTAGAAATGATCTTATACTGACTACCTGAGTGCAAAGTCTTTTTCTTGATTAAAAATAAATCAATAAGTGGGTTTGGGCTGTAGCTCAGTGGTAGGACATTTGCCTAGAATGAAGGAAACTCTGGATTTGATCCTCTGCACTACAAAACCCAAACAAAACAGGAATCAATGAGGAAAAATAATAGGAATCCATAGTGAATTTGAGTGGGAAAGTTCTTTCTGAAGAATAGTTGTGAAGATATTATATACTTACTGTATACTAATCTCCATTAAAAATGCATTGTAGCCGGGCAGTGGTGGCACATGCCTTTAATCCCAGCACTTGGGAGGCAGAGCCAGGTGGATCTCTGTGAGTTCAAGGCCAGCCTGGTCTATAGAGTGAGTTCCAGGACAGGCACCAAAACTACACAGAGAAATGCTGTCTCAAAACACACCCCGCCCCCCAATGCATTGTATATTTCCTCATCTGATGTTCACAATGGCCCATAGGGTGGAAACTATCATTATCTCCGAGTCACAGAGAAGCAGAAGCGTATTTTAATAACTTGCACGTGGTTTCTCACTGAGCCTAGAGCTCACCGATTTAATTAGGCTAGCTGACCAATGAACTTCCGGGATCTGCCTGCCCCTGGCTCCCCAGCACTGGGGTTATGGATGCACAATACTGTGCCTGGCTTTTACATGATGCTAAGGATTGGGACTTGGGACCTCATGCTTGTGTTTTAAAGACTAAGCCATCTCCCTAGCATTTCAGGCAGTTTTCTTGATACTGAGAACTATAGATTAGCCTTCTCTTAAAGTCATAGCTTTAAGAGAAACATGTAATCCTGTTTTCATGGTTACAAAATAACACAAACTTTATAAAAACTCAAAATAATATTATCACATAACCATCACATTGTACTAAGTGAGGAATTCCTTCCTGGCTTGGTTTTCTGATATCTGCTTAGCCCTTTTAGGCAGGATTTTTTCCTGGTGATCCTTGGCAGTCCTCTTTCTGCTCTCTTTTTTGTTGTTTTAAGGTTATTACATTTATTTACTTGTATATATGAGTGGGGAAATCAATTCTCTACTTCTGCCATGTGCACCCTGGGTATTGAACTCAAGTCATCAGGCTTGGCAGCAAGTGCCTTTAGACACAGAGCCATCTTGCCAGCCGTGTTGTTTTTAAGAAAAGGTCTCAGTGTAGTCCAGGTTAGCCTCAAACTCCTGTAAGCCATCCTGTCTCAGTCTCCAGAGTGCTGGGATTACAGTGTCGGCAGCCACACCTGATTTTCTGTTATTGATTGGCCCTTCTTGGGTGCCCCTAAGTTTACTAAAGTACCAGTTTATGGTCACTGCCACCTCACCTGCAGACTTTAGGAGGATCAGAATGAGAGGGGACCACCTCAGACTTCTGCAGGCAGAGTGGCCTGGCGGACCCCCACCCCACCCCCCAGATTGTGTGGATGGTTAGGTCAAGAGGACACAGAGGAGGGCATGTTCGTTGAGGGGACAACTGGTTCCCACTTCAGGTGATTGTCAT